CATTCTGTGGGTATGCCACGAATTAAATTTTAACTTGTCCAGGTCAGATTCAAACCAGTATTTTTAGACTTAAGAATGTTAAAGTTTACACTATAACACGCTTGGCCACCACAACTCCAAAGAATGATTTAACAATAGACAATATTTGATTATTAATAACGTATGGATACAAATATTCTTCATCTTTCTGATTGTTACAACCAAATTTCCCTATAAAACACAATTAACTCTCTTCTTCTTTTTCGTTCTTCCTTCTAGATGGCTATGTCGGGAAGAAAAAATATAAAATAAGTGGTCCTTCTTAGGTCCTCCAGACTTACGAAAAGCTTGGTCCCAAGTTCTGTGGGTTGGGGTCATATCTGCCTCTGCATGTCTTCCATCAGCTGGCAGTTCTACAGAATGTGAGCTGTCGTTTGTTCATTTTGGTCACATCCACACAAGGGACTGTGTCCTATTTTGAACTTCCTGAAGAGGTGTGATTTCAAACGATTATGTCCAGTTCTGAGGCGAAAAATGACGACCTGTACTCTTCTGGTATGCTTGAAATAATCGTCATTCGGGTTATGATTTGGGTGACTTGCTTTCCACCTTTGGCTTATGGCTGCTGTGTTAATAGTTTAACACTCCTCTAATCTAGGTAGGCTGCTAATTTGGGAGAGCAGTGTTCTTTCCTTCGCCGATCGGTCTGCAATTTCACTACCAGCAACCCGTGTCCTGGAATCCATTGTAAAACCATCTCTTGGTACTGAGCTCTTAGATCTTCCAACTCCTCAGCCAATGTGTCAACGAAATCTTCCATTTATTTTTTAGGCATTCAAGATTGGAAGCTGCATCTGTCAGGAATACAATGCATGACAGCGGACATCTCTTAAGACCCTTTAGGACCTTGGCTGCAGTCAGAATGGAGTCATGCTCAGCTCTATAGTTCGTTGAGATGAGTCCAGTGGGGAGAGCTTTTTGGAGAATGTGTCCATTAGGGAATTAAATATGAATGCCTCCTTCTCCATTTTTAATGGCATTTTTAGCAGACCCATCTGTATATTCACTCGTCCATTTATTCTTAGGATAGGCTTAGTTAATGTGCCTTAGAGTATAGGCTTTGGCTACCTTTAATTAACTCTTTTTAAACAATATTTGGTTACAAACAAATAAATACTAAAACTAAACACATGGTTTCAATTTTAAATGCTCATTAAAAGCGAGAAAAACCCCTTGACGGGAGTACCTGTTTGTACCCAGAGGGGTGGGGTACTAACTTCCGTCCCCAACTCTAGTTTTTACTGCTCCAAGGTCACAGGTACTATAAGTAGTTATTGGATAGACAACATTATTTCAGGTCATGATGGGCGAGTGGTTAAAGCGTGTCTAGCGATGCCAGTTTCAATCCGGCCAGGGCAGGTTGAAATTTATTTTATGGTGGATCCATGGAATAAATCTCGACCCTTCACCTCTCTGGTTAGGTTTCGTTGTACCTCTCTACCACTCCCCCCCCTTGTATACCAGAAATGGCGAGGTAGGGGATGATCTAATAAAAAAAAGAAAATATACTGACAGGCAAAAAATTATAGGCTGTATATCTTTCGTTTCTTCTTCTCCACATACTTTCACACCCGTCTGGAGATCGAAGAGCGAATCTTGACTCATCTGTAAAAAGTACAGCACTCCATTCGTCCATAGTCCAATGGCTGTGTTCTCGAGCAAAAGCCAGCCCTGTTACTCTGTGAGTTCTGGTCAACTCTGGTCCTCTTACTGGACGAAAAGCCATTAATCCATACTCATTTAATCTTTTCCGAGCAGTATGTTCAGAAATTTGCACACCTCGAACTTCTTTGAGCTGATGAATCGCTTGAACAACGGTAAGGTGCCGGTTTCGTAAAATTCTCAAAGTCAAAAACCGGTCATCCCGTGGTTCTGTTACCCTAGGCCGTCCAGAACCGGGCCTTCAATTGTAAGAACCAGTTTCCCGAAAACACATGAGGCGTCTCGTAAAGTTTCATATGGAACTCCGATGGCATTAGCTGCATAGCTAATGGAACGTCCATCATCAATAAGTGCCACACCACACGCAACATCCTCAGCACTAAGAGGCATTTTTAAACTTAATATTGAAAAAATTAAAAGCCGGAGACTAAGAAATGTGCTGCAAGAAACGGCACTGAACTAATGATACTGAATAAACATTTTGATTCCATAGAAAGTAAACATTGTAATCTAGAATCATTTCATTGAATTAAGGATTAGGTTATTGTCCTCTATATTAACATTCCTAATTGAAAACAAACAAAAAGATTACCTATTTATTCATTAAAAACAATAGACCAATCCAAAGCAGAAATATTTTTAGATAAAAACATGAAAAAATCAAGTGGGTGGTATTTTTGCCTGTCAGTGTATTATATTTTGAAAAAAAAACATCTGGTGTGTCCACTCACACGACTTTCCTACCTATTTCAGAATAGTTTTTATATCTTTACATATGTTCATGAAGAAACAAAAAAAAATTGAACTAGATTTATTTTCCTGAAAATTGATCAAAGAAAAGATTTGAGAACGATTTATTTGATAAACTAAAGCAATGTAAACCGTCTTAAGGTAGATCAGTGTAAAAATTTCAATACTCTCTAATGTTGCTGATCCAAAACTTTGAGCTTTATTTATTGAATATTAATACATCCTGCTACATTGAAGGGCATTAATATTAAGGCTACATGATTCATTCACACAATATGTACATACAATTAATATAGCTTAGTATTGCAAAGTAGAGGAAATAGTGAAGCTTGTGTGATGCGGGCAACAGATTTTCTTACTTTAACTTAGTCATCTTTTTTATCTCATTCACTTCTTTCTGACACCAGGATATGAACCCGTAATAGCAAATTCGTTAATAGTTGTCCAAAATGAATGATTTTTATATAGTTTTGTAGGGAATTTCATTACCTTAAAAAAAAAAAACCGGCGTTTTTTTTTCTCGCACAGACAGACCAATGGCTAAAAATGTGGTTTTCGGACTCAGGGGGCTCTGAAACGTATAGATCCGTCGAAAACCGCATATCGGAAATTTGACCCGATTGCAATACTTTCCTTACCTAGTACAGGTAGGAAAGTAATAAGTTAAAACGTCTGTAAAAAATAGAATAAGCTGTATCATCGCTAATACTGGTTCGATTCCGATGATTTTTCTTTTGTTTAGTTGCTAATTTAATTACCTTTCAAAAGTTTTATTATAAATTTTACTGTAGAATATACTTAAGGATACTTAAGGAGTTAGGCCCCATAACATTTTTCTTTTCTTTATAACTTTTTTTCCTGAATTTTCTCGGGAATTTAGTCCATATACGAAAATTGAAAGAACAATTATTAGAACATTATAGGAAAGTTTCATCAAAATCGTTAGAGCCGTTTTCGCACTACAGTCTATAGAAAAACATGTTTTTCATTTATTGCGCGCAAGCTATTGCGCATGGAGCACCGAATTTCTGTCACAGGCATCAGTAGTCAAAACCCTACAAAATAAAAAAAAGAAGCAACAAAATCGGTTCAGTAGTTCCCGAGAAAATCTTGGCACAGACAGACAGACCAATGGCTAAAAATGTGTTTTTCGGATTCAGGGGGCTCTGAAACGTAAAGATCCGTCAAAAACCGCATATCGGAAATTTTACCCGAAGTTCCAAATGAAGTCCCATTTGCAACAGATATATTTCAATACTTAGGTAACATTATAACTACTTAAGGAAAGTGGCGGTTTGTGAACTCTAGTCCTCATCACAGCGGCATAAAATCTTTCATGTTGTTTCTTTTTTAATCAGCAAATACATTGCCTTTAGTCAACTGTTTGTTTTTACCACCTATGCCAAGTTTTACTAAAAATTTAAAACTAAATTTAACTATGGCCTTCAGTGATCTTTTGTTTATTAGAATTAGAATATGAGATTCCATAGTGCAACTCAAACCAAATAAAAATGAAAAGGGTGAAGACATGTAGTTTTAAACAATGAAAATTAAGTTAAAAACACAATGAAACATTTTGAATATCAGATTGGAACCCACCTGTAGAGTTTTAATGTATACTGTTCAACAGCTCAAGAGTTCCTTTATCTGACCTAATACAGCTATAATGGTATTGAACCCGAAAATTCAAAAATTAGACCTAATAACATTTAACTACACCTTGATTCCATATGTAGTTCAAAGAACAATAGCAAAATAGTATTACCATACAAGTATCACTCCATCAAAATAGGTGGACACAAGTTCTCATGATCACACAGCGACGGAATTTCGAAAAAGGGCAGATGTGTATGAAAGTAGGCAGAGGTACCCAAAACCCTATTGGTCCATACCTTATCAAAAAAGACCCGTCAGGAGTTTGTGTACTATATTTCAGCAAGAGTAAGCAGAAATCAGGAGCTGTAATCTAAATAAAGGGTAGTTACACTCGGGAAGCCTTTATCAATACTACCCATTCTCAAAAATCTCATCTATTGTGTGATCATGTGCACATTCATCATTTTGAAATGAATTTTGTGTAGCACATTAATAACTACTTAGAGTAATGGTACCACTGTTTTAACGTCTCTCCACTTTGCAAATTAGGTCAAGATCCCGTAATTACCCTATAAATGGGATTCCAAGAATATCGGAGGATTGACATTGTGTTCACAATGTAACCTAACTTTAATTCGATTGTGACAATCAGTACAGTGACCACCCTACTAGACCCTTGCAGTTAAAATTTATGGGGCAATAATTACCATTAATTACATCACTACTTTTGACTTCCACTCGCACAAAGAGACAAAGATATCCCCAACAGATCCTTTTCAGTAGATATTGGGACCTTATCAAAAAGTTCAATCAGTCTCGGACACACTTGGTCATTCCTCCGTTACCACTTGTCATCATGTGTCACCAATGAAAGTGAAGTGACATTTGTACAGTAGTACCAAAATAAAAGATAAAGTAATAAAAAATAAATACAATAAACCAAAGATAATTACCTAACTGCTTATTTTTCAGGGTGCGCCTTCTGCGAACCATTCCTGAAAAAAAAAATAAGCCTATCATAACAGCTTAAAAAACTTGAGTATTAATATAACAAATATGCTTAAAAAATAATTCACATTATGTTATTACATCATCAAATTACAAGAATAGATTTAAAACAATTACAAGGCTTAAAATTATAAGTAAATTGGTGCAAAGATCAGTTGAAACAAATCAGGACTTAATGTAGCAAATTTTATTTATATAATATAAAACCAACTTTATAAACTGGGTAAGCTGTAACAATTACTTCTTTCTTTTATTCTATTTAGATTCAAGTAATTAATTCTAAAGGGGCACTAAGTTATCACCAACCAATCTGTCACATTAAGGTGATGGAGATAAATAAAAATCAACATTATATATTTCAGAAAGATTTTCTTTGACATATTTTATTTAGGAACTAGTATTGAAGTGCTACTCCAAGATGGCAACTGGGTTCAAGATCACATCTCAAAGGTGGATTCCAAACTTATGACACCATTTTTAATAAACTAAAACGAAATCATTAAAAAGCCTTCCACCAAAACAGAAAATATACTCTTGGCTCTTAATTAATTTATTTGTTTAATTATTAGATTTATTTAATTTATTTTATACATTGTCTATGATTTGATCTTATTATAAAAGCAACTAATAATTTTCGGGACATCAAAAGCAATTGTTTCCATCAATGTTTTATTTTTGAGAGAGAATCAGAAATAAAATACAATAAATATTTAGTTTCCAAAGGATAAAACAAATATATCACTCGGCTTACCCAGAAGATCTAAATTTTAAACATAAATAGATACTCCAATAAGAAACAAAAGTAAGACTTTCAAAACTAATCGAACATAAAATAAAGTACGGTACAGTAGATATATAATAACCGCGAGGAGGTTTCGTTTTCAAACCAGCGCAAATGTCAGTTAGAAGTGATGCAGTAATATTTAAAGGAATAAATATAAATTTTATAAAAATGTATCTATTTAATGTATTAGAATACTATAAAAAGGTATTATTGTAATTGAAAAAAATAAATTTTAATTAATTTAGATATATTATTGAAAATTACATGCTTCAAAAATAAAATTAAACATAAACGATCATACTAAGCTTAACAATTATAAGCGATATAGTAAATAAAATGAGAAATAAACCATAACCTTACAAAAAATGTTATTCCGATAATATTTAAAAAAAAATGGCAAATATAAAAAAAACAACCAATATTTCAAATTGAACTGGACAATTGCAGTGACAACCAGGAGGTGTCGATTTTTAACCATGCTAATTAGATATAAAGTTATGTTCTGTTATAAATTAAATATAAACTTGACAAATTTACTACTATTTCAGAATTTAGTGTACTTTGAAATATTTTATTTTAAAGAGAAAAAAAAATCTTTTCTATAATGTAAATCCATGTTATGTTCAAAGGGCCAGAAAAATTAATCATAAAAAGATTTTATCGTAATTTTAAAATATTAATTATAATTAACTTCACTATATGTTTCAGAATTATGTGCTTCGAAAATAAAATAAAATCAAAACGATTACAGTAAGTTCAACAATTGCAAAGGAAATATGTATAAAATAAACTGTGAAATAAAAAGTAACTTTATCAAAAGACTCTTATTCTGACAATAATAATAATAATAAAAGGCTTCGCGAACCCGAAGGTTCGATGCCGACACCACCAATCGCTCATTACACACCTCCCTCCACCGTTCGCCGTCCAAACCTAGTCCCTTCAGATCGGCTTTAATGCAATCTTCCCACCTTCGCTTCGGTCTACCCCTCGGACGTTTACCATTCGGTACAGCAAATATTAACCTTTTAGGAATTCTCTCGTTACTAAGCCCAACAATTTTACAGGCCCATTTGATACGCCGGGATGAAATCACCTCAATTATATTACTCGGATATAGTTCACGCAATTCGGCGTTGTGTAACCGTCTGAATTCTCCGGTTAATTCATCCTTCTTCGGTCCGAATATTCTACGCAATACTTTATTTTCAAAAACCTTAAGTCGTTGCTCATCCCTTAATGTAAGCGGCCACGTTTCGCAACCATAAAGAACTGTAGGCAAGACAATGGTTTTATAGATTCTAATTTTTAAGTTGCGGGACAAGAGGCGCGAGCTACGTAGTTTTGTTACAGAGAAATAACAAGCATTTTCCGCCTTCAGCCTAACCTTAATCTCTTCTTCAGTTTCGTTTTTTCTAGTTATCGTATACCCTAGATACCTAAACTTCTCTACCTGTTCAAACATATTACCATCTATATCGATATCACCAGTAATATCGCCATTTTTGCAGCTGACCATATATTCCGTCTTATCCGTGTTTATTTCGAGCCCTAGTTCTTTACTGGCATTCATTAACGTTGTCGTATTTAGTTTTATAGTTTCCACGTATTCGCTTAACAGAACCAGATCATCCGCATAGCCCAGCACGGGTGTTGCCCCACCCAGATCCAACCCTTTTTCGGTACGCATTACCTCCATAATGGCATGTTCTAATGCCAAATTGAACAGAACAGGAGAAAGGGAATCCCCCTGTTTCAAACCCCGAACGAACCTCAAACTTTTCGGACAGATTATTACCGATTCTAACTTTATTCAGTGTTTCCGTCAAGCACATCCTGACTAGATTTACTAGTTTTTTGGGAATCCCCTGTTCACATTAGAATATTATACAGTTTCTGGCGGTCAATAGAATCGTAAGTCTTTTTTAAATCGATATACAGCTGGTGAACAATACCGACCTATTATGTCCTTCCCCTCATGATCCATCACTCCCAATACCATATCTATGCTGATGATTTCCAAATATACCTGTCCTTCCCGCCCTCCGACTTATTATCAACAACAGAAAAACTTCATGAAGACAAGGATAATGTTTGTGACAGGGCGAGAGCCATCAAGTTGAAGTTGAATGCGGAAAAGACAAAGGCAATCTTAATTGGCTCCAATCACCTCCTTAAAACTGTTCCACATATTCTAACTCTTTTTCTACATGATAATCCCATCAAATTTTATCCCTCTGTCAAAAACCTTGGAATAACCTTCGATCAAACGCTTTCCTGGAAAAATCATGTATCCAACAACTCCCGCTGTACCATTTTCACCTTAAAACGCCTAAACAACTTCCGTCACTTATTTCTCCTTGAAACCCGTAGGCTCCTGGTTACTTCCTTAATTTTCCCCCACTTTGACTATTGCTGCACGGTATATGGGGGCGTTTCTGGGGATCTCGAGGCGAAACTAAAATGCTTGATAAATTGCTTTGTACGATTCATCTTCGGGATCCCAAGGGACGCCTCTGTTTCCCGTTTTTATGTAGAGTTGAAGTGGCTTTATCCCTCCTACCGTCGTAAGTATTTCCTGACATCCTTCCTCTTTCAAGTCATCCAATCCCACCAACCTTCATACATCTCAGAGCTCCTCCAATTCAAATCCTCTGTTCGCTCCCACAATACTCGTTCCAGGTCTTCTGATTTATACATAAGGGCCCACCGATCCGCTGCTTTCGACATAATATCTCCATTGCTTTTCCATAATTCTGCTCTTTACGGGTTCTAGTAGTAGGACACCACTTGCCTTATTTATTTATTTTTTGTCCCCATGATATGATATTCCATTTTTGGCTTGTTCAATGTGGAGCCTTCCTTGGCGAATTTATTTGTCATTTCTTTACCATGAAGAGCACAGGGGCTTGGTATCCATTGAAAGAATACTTCTGTTCTTTGAAGAAGTAGTTCCTCTATGATCTTTTGCCACTTCAGAATATCTTGAGTAAAGGAATCATTGGGCCGTGACACAGCGAGAATAGCCGCATTTGAATCCACAAACAATATGATATTTTTGGCATCTAAGTTTGACAAGGCTTGCAGTGGCAGTAAAATTGCTCTTGTTTCGCTCTCAAAATTCGAGGTCCATTTCCCTACAGGTTTCGAAATAGCAAACAGTTGTGAGAATACACCTGCCACTCCATTGGGAGTTGCTCGTTCGGTAGACTCATCGGTGTATACATGAATCCACGGAGGGCTGGGGTAACGTTCAGCAATCGTTTCAAGAGCGAAGGATCATAGTTCTACTGGTATGTCCTCTTCTTTTTTAATTCGTTTAATAAGGTTGAGGTTATATGATGCTGTTTTTATAGGGAACTAAGGTGGTATTAGAGATGGTGGTTCTGTTTGAGCAGGTTGTTTTCATACTTACAGAGACGAAAAGTATAAAATAATACACCTGGGAACAGTAACGCAGCCAAAACCCCAGACCACAAAAGGTTAGTGAAGTTTTCTCACCAAATTCGTTGAACACGCAAGGACACATAATATGATTATATAAAAACCAAAGAAGGATTTGAGAGGTAAGGAAGTCGTATCCAGGAGATTTACGGAGAGGACGTTTTTGTAAATGATGTTTGACCTCAGAAGGATTAATTGCTTTAGGGGGTAAGAAAAGTGGAATGGGTGATGTAAGGAATTCTTCTACTGTTATGGTATGGGTGGGATAGGATTCCGGAAGTGAGGTGAATGTTCTGGAGAAGTGTCTGGCGAATACCTCAGCTTTTTCTTCATCAGACGCTGCCCAGGAGCCATCGCATCGACGGAGGGGATGGGAAATATGATGGGATTTAAGGGTTTTGTTGGTGATCTTCCATAGAGAATTGTCGTGAACAGAGAGGAAAGTAAGGTAGGAGTTGAAGGATCGGGATTTGAAGATGGCCAATTCCTGCTTTAATCGTTTAGTGAAATAATTATAAGAGCGCCGATCGATGGGGTGTCTTGAACGTTGCCATAATATTCGGGCACGGCGTTTGATATGAATTAGATCTAGCAGGTGCTGAGGCAAATTATTTTTCTTAGGAATTTTCGAGGAGAAATTTGGAGAGGAAGCAGTCCAGATTGCTTGCTGCATAGTAGTGGTAAAGGTATTTACGGCATTATCGAGGTCTTCTGGGCTTTTCAGGGTTGTTCTGAGGTCAATTTTATCGGAAAGGATTTAATGAAAGAGTTTCCAGTTAACTGGGCCTCTGATGAAGGACGGTGAAGGGGGTTTAGACGGTTAAGGAGTTTATGGGGGGAAATAAATATTTATTTCCTTTCTTTACCTGCTAATGTTGTAATCGTTATATACAGAATATGTAATATATTCTAGTTAAAATGACAACAATTTGTGACACCAAGACTCATACTTCATTCATTAATGATCTTTAACCTAAAAATGAATGTTTATTACTAACATTTAGTATTAACGTACTTATTAAAAAAGGTTTGAAACAAGGAGAAAGCCTTAGCTACCTACTGTTCATCATATTCATGGATGAAATCCTAAAAATATGCAAGAGAAGGACAGCATGGAAAGTTGTTGGGAAGTGGAATACGAGGAAAATCCTTGCTCAGGTTTTTGCAGATGACATTGTTCTCATAACAGATTCAAAAGAAAGAAAGCAATCATAGAGTGGGAAGCTGAGCTGGATTTAAAGGGAATGATGCTCAATGCAATTAACAGCAAGATAATGTGTATAGGACGCAATGAAGAAAATGTGGAGATCCGATGCAAAGGAGAAACCTTAGAGAAGACTGAGAAATATACCTACCTAAGTACAGTTGCTGGAAAGAGGGAAGTGGACAAACACGCGAAGCTGCGCATTTTCAAGGCTGTATACCTAACTACTCTTCTCTATGGAAGCGAAAGCTGGGTCCCACTGGACAAGCACTGGAGCCGAGTAACAGCCGCAGAAATGCGATACCTAGGGAGAGTGGCTGGCCGAAGTAGAAGAGATCTGGTTAGAAATCAGCGAATACCAGAGGACCTGGAAGATTCAGCTGTAAAAGAAGTGGTTGAAGAGAGGTAGCTGAAATGGTTTGGCCACCTTTACCGAATGGAGGAAG